ATGCGTAACTTCCCCTTGCTTTGCGTGTCTCAATGGAGACTTTTAGTTCCGTACAACAAAATCAGAAGAGCTCTGCCTTCCGTGCTAAATTTAGAGGTGCTCATCATATCTTCTATTACTTTTAGGAGTTAAATTTTAATTTCAGTGCAAGAAAAGAACACCGGTTTAATTTAATAACAAAGAAAAGTAAACTAAATTTTACCTATGTGGTTATACAGCTTTTAAAAATACTCTTTAGGGGGGCAAAGCCCTCTTATTTCACCATTTCAGGTGAATTTGTTTATCAAGTGCTTACCTAATACGTTAAACATTGTTTTTTAACTCTGAAAAATAGGAGCAGAATAGATGGAGGAGCTATTGAGTGCATGAATACAACACCATGCACTGTCCTTACCCAAGTATTTCAGTTAGATAGGTATTTCTGCAGCATTTTAGTCCCAAAAAAGAACTCTCAAAAATTTCCCATCTTACTTGTCAGGAAATGGAGGTGGAGATGTACAACGAATTTTCCAAGAAGGTAGGAAACGAACAACAGGACTCTCACTAGAAACCAGAAACTGTGAATTTGAATGCAGCCAAAGCATGGGATATCTGCCTGTCCTGGCAGCAAGGGTAAAGGCTTCATGGACAATTCGGATCACAATCACATTGTCTTCTGATGGCTGCAGCAAAATGAGCAGCCAGTAGGCAGAGTGGGACTTATCTCCCCTAATTTTAGGTATCTAGTAGAGAGAGGGTCCCTTTGAGGTCAGTAAAGAGAAACAGTCATCTGTAGGGTGTGATTCACCTGTCCTGCTTTAGATGCCAACTATTTGGACAGCATGATGTCCGCAGTGGTCAGATGAAGACCACCCATAATGTCATATTTAAAATCTCTCTGATTAAGAAGAGAGAATGGGAATAGAAACAGATCTCAAGACATGACAGCTCCCAAGGTTGGGATAATTCAAAGCTAGAACGAAATTTTCCAGTTGGCTCCATGGAGATAAAATTTCAAAACAACTTAGTCATTGTAAAAGCTTACGTTCCATTTTCATAGCAACTGGAAGCCTATGTTTCACTTGCTTTTGATACAAATTTATTGCCCAGATGCTGTTTGACAATTCTGCAAATTTTATCCTACGGGAAAGCATTTTACTCTATGGCACTTCAGGGATGTAATTTTGCCATCCTGTACAGCCAAGAGAGAGAGGTGGCTACTGCAGAGACAAGCCTCAATACCTCAGTTGGGACTCTTGCTTCCTATGCAGTCCTGTGGGCGTAAGAGTGTCTGAAAATGCCTTAGCCCTTTTTTCTCTGTAAAATGAGGGAATTGTAAACACTCTACATGAAATCTGAATGTCTCCACACTTGGAACACGATAAAATTTGAATCCAAACTCTGAAGTTTCATCTTAGTTCCTTGTCTTCTTACAACATCTCTTGGATGCTTAAAATAAACCAGAAATCTACCATCTCCAGCCTGCATTCGTGTGACAGCCTGAACCCATCTGAAACCCTCGTTCTAGGTTTCTGAGTCCCCTCCTTCCCAACCTGCCTGAACTGCACAAAGCAGACACCCCCCCGCCCCAGATCTCTGTGCTCCCCGAATAGGTTACACAAACAGGGAGATTCCTCCAGGGAAGTCACAGGTTCAAGATCACAAAGGACGCACCGAGTTTGGGCCAGTTGGAGGTTTTTCTTGCTATTGTGCTTATCTGTATCTTCACTGTCATCCAGACGTTAACCTCTGACCTGCCAGCCCGCCTCTCGAAAAAGCCTTGCGGTGTTTACCCATTATGTAATGTCTGTGCTTTTGTGGAAATTTTACAGAAACAAATGGAGGAAGTTTGCCAGTCAAATGGCTGGGCAATAAATCCTGTCCCGTGTAGACAGAACGGTATACTGTCACTGTAAGTCTGCTACTGGCATCTGTCACCGAAGAAATGTTTACAAATTTCAACGTGCTGGAGTGCCAAAGTATTCCAGCATTGCAGGACTGTACATGATTTGTAGAATAACCACCACTGTGCTAGATAGGGGTATCCTTGTTTTGCTAGCCTGAATAAACAGAGTGACAATGTTTCAGATAACTCAAGGTCACTAATGGCCAATTTTTCTGTCTATTCATCTCCTAGGTTCATGAATACAAGTACCTACGTGCTAGTTTGTTCATTGTAATGCTTCTTCTGCCCTAAGATATCTTTGCTAGAAGGTTAATCCAGGTAGGCAAACTGCCTTCAGACCCCTTTGCTTATTTCTAATAGGTCCTTTATTATTTATACACTGTGTCTTCCCATCCTCCATTTTCTTTACAGACTGGGCTGTCTCTCCTCTTTCTGTACTATTTCCCCTTTGGGACAAGACGTTATATTTTGTTATCTTTTTGCACAGTGTCATCGCAAGGCCTTCTGCTGTGTGACTGAGGCTTCTACATATCATCAACTATAAAGTTAAGACAACAGAAAGATGAGTTTGGATAAGAAGCAGGAACAAACATAATTTGAAACAGTGGGACAGATAGGTAATATTCCTCCTTCACTCTTTCAACCAAGGGCCTGATTCTGCTGCTACTGAATGGAGCTTTTCACTCTCAATGTCAACGGGAGCGGCACTAGGTCTTAGAGTTCCGCTATAATTAAGTTTTCAAATCTCATTTCCTTTCAGAGGAGAGAAAACATTGTTGTGACTAAGCTTTGGATGTGGTAACAAATCCCTGGCAGGTTGGTTTGTTTTAACGGACGTATTAGTTTTAAGGAAACTTTTACCATCTTTTCTGCCCTTCATCACAGCTTTTATTACAATTACAGTAATGCAACAGATGTACATGCCAAAGGCAATATGTGTATTTTTAATGAGTTGACATGCAACCTTCCTGGAGAGGAGAAACAACTTCATTTGCTGAATGTTTCTGAACCATATCTAGCAGTTTATTAAGGGACAAGGAATCGATCAGAAAAACATTTACCACAAATTTAGAGGCTTCAGTAACTCACAGATGAGCAGTCCCATAAGACAGACTCGGTTGTTGTGCTAGGTTTAGCAAATTTTTGCTGAATGATAACATCTTCCATTGTCCGCAAACAATACGGGAGAAGGTTAACAGGCAATATCTGGAAAGCCCTAAGATTATTAATCCACACACGTGGTCCTGAGTCACTGGGCTGTAAAACATCATCAGTTTCTAAAGATGAAACCGAAGGGGAATTCTGCTTGAGAGAGATGATATCACAAGCCAAAGGAACTAGTTGCATCAATAAGGCCTGTTTATGTGAGTTTTACAAGACATTGGCTCACAGGGCTATTCATTCTAGTATAATGAATTCAGTCAATAAATTGAGCATAGGCAGTAAAGTAAAGAGCCTTCAGTCTGGTTTCTTGCCTCAATTTACCTTACAGCTTGGACACAGATCAGACAACGGTGCACACAGCAAATGACAACAGGCTGACGTGCACACATCAACGGGGCTCATTCAGCAGGGGACTAAAGAGCTCGGAGGGTCAGGCTCCAACAGCAGCAAACAAAATCCGTTCTGTTAAATTATTCCTGCCACTGCTGTGCTCTGGGCCAAACAGCACTCACAAACAATGGCTGGCCACGCTTTTTTGGAGGTTAATGCAGGCCAAGGACCATTTCTAATACAACCCTGGATGTGGATAACCTGTTTTGAGAGGTAAAAGTTTATCTGTGGGTGCCAGAGAAGGATTCCTGGCTTGTGGAGATGTGACCCCACAGACCTTCACATACCTTTCTCCGAGACCAAATTATCAAAGGAAGAAGCCTGAAAGCCTTGTGTACATATGACTGCATGCTTGCTTTCTCCTCGGTCATCATAAAACTGCCATAAATTAATAGAAACTCAAGTGACAAACCATAGTACTCCTATCAGAAATTTACATTATCAACGGGGAGCCTGATTTTGTCAGGCTCAGGGTACTGCAACAGAGCGACTGTCGTTATGCCAGGTTTGTACAACACAAATGGGGCTGCCTAGGTTTGGCAGTAAGAACCCTCGCTGCCCAACCTGCTTTTGGTCCCTGTACAGTCCTACAGCGAGCCTCCAACACAGACCAACACATCCACAGATATCCACGAAAGGTATAAGACCTTGCTGCAATCACAGTGGCACATCTGTTTGGACGATTAGTAGGTAAAATTTAACTGATAGAAGACAGAGCACAACTGGAAATGTAGGAATGTGTTTTTACTACTATTAATGCAATCAAAACTTCCTTCTTGCTATTATTACTGCGTTAGCATGTCAATTCTATTCCAAATTGTTTTCAACTGCTAACTTACCAAAATACCTGGAGTATAGCACAATTCACGTTCTGGTTTTCATTCTAAACTTAACATAATTTATCTGAAATTGTTCCCCTTCTTAAAGCTGTTTCTCTTGCTAGAACGTGCAAAATATGCATTCAATATGCACTGGAGGAACGTTAATCTTCTAACTTTCTCCGTATGCCCAAAAAAGTGCTGAAATTCTTCTGTGCATACAGTAACTTCTTCGTGTCTTTGCAGACTGAAGGCCCTTTTCTGAGTTTACCAATATTCCAATTCAGATGACAAAATCTATACAGCTGGTTAAACCACAGCTTTAAAAAAACAGATGCAAAGACCCCTTTGTAAAACTGATTGCTCATTTATTTTAACCATCCAATATGAATGAAATGCAAAAAGTAAGCAGACATAAGTGACATGAACTAGATAGTAAAAGTGTTTTAATCACGTGAGATACTTAGTAGTACAGGTCAGAGTTTTCTTACGAAATATATATCTTTTGAGGAAATATTTTATTTGTTATTTTCCCCTTCAGACTTCTTTTTTTCAAAATTGACTCATTTGAGATTTTCCTGTACCTATGGTCTTAATTTGAGAAAAGATTAGACCTGTCCTTCAAAACTTATTCATGCTTTAGTATTAAGATTTTGCCCACAAAAGTACATCAAAATTTACTAAATGAGAACGATACAAAAGTTGGTGTAACAAACAAACAAACAAACAAAAAATGTGCTCACCAATGCAGTCCACGCTGAAAAGATTTACAGAGGTTGTTATGGAAGATTCGTCACAGGTCTTCATTCCTCGCAGAGCAAACCGCACCAGGGAGGCTTTGACTCCCTCTGGTAGAAAGGACAGCAGGTAGACGGGCATGTACAGAACGTAACGAAGTTTGCACAGCAAAGGGGTCATGAGCTTTCCTTGAGGGGACTGAGCCATACGCTCTATCGTTGGAAACAGCAGCACAGAGCGAAGAACCTGTCAGGCCATGAGAAAACGACTGTCAGCAAAGTCCTACAGCGCCGCATCCCAGCCTAGGAGACTTAATTTTTAAATGAGTCTGCACTTGAAATGAAGTTGGGTTTCCAGGCCGTTGCACCTCAGACACATAGGCAGGCTTTGCGGTGTGCCCAGGCTAAATTTTTTGAAAGACAAAGCAAACAAGAATGCGGTTATGAAATGCTCAGTTCTATCGGTTTTGAAACAAGTGCCCAGGAGCGCGAGCACAGCCCCTTGCTCCAGGAGGATGGGGACCCCACCAGAGGGCAGCAGGCAGGAACTGTCATTTCGGTCCAGGCAGATTTTTTATGTCAGCAAAAGTACACTGCTTTTTATTTCATCTGGTAAACTATTTTCTCAAAGTAAACCAACCAAACAAATTAAAAAATGTCAGCCGCCGTGACGGTAACTTTCCAGTTTGACAGCACATGGGGTTTTCAATTTGCAGTTCAGTATAGGTAAACTTGGTCAGAACAAGAGTCTAAGCACACAGCCCCTTCACTAAGATGTGCACAGTGGTGCACGATACTGCTTTTTATATGCTATAATAAAACAGACATATTCTAAAGCTGGTAATTTTTTTATGTTACGATAATAGAATACCCTGTAGCCTTAAAATAGAATGAATTAAAAACCCCACCCACATTAACCAAAAGTGAATTAATATACCTACTCTCAATTATATTTCAATGTTAAGATCAAACAAATATTCTAAAAGGATACCTGCCACTTTTTCCTGGAAGTAGAATCATATACAAGAATTCATACAGGAAAAACTCTCAAAGACGCGCAACTACAGTACCTAACAGAAGTATCAAGAAGGCAAAATAAGAGAGATTCTGGGTATTACATTTGCACATAATTAGGTATAAATTGCTGTGCTTTGCTGGTGGCTCAACATACATAAAGCAGACGTAGTTATGTACGTCTGCTTACTGCACATATCATTCTACATATTGCACAAATTAGACTAATATTTTTGTAAAAAATATTTAAAAATAGTTGTCTTTACTCTCAGATGAGACTCAGCTAATGTATGCGACTGCACCTGTGCGCAGCGCCCCGGGTCTCAGCAGCGATCCAGTGGAAGGCAGGGCATGCCACCGAGAGATGCTTATAAGATCTGGGCATTGTAACATAGCAGAGAAGAAATTCAGGAAATATCAGTAACTTGCCATACTGTACTTTTTATAGTATTTTAAAAGCAGACTTTGAAAGTGCTATTTATATCGAATACAGAACTATTTTAAGACATCCTTCTACTTTCCAGCTGATACTACTTTGGTTTTAGACAAAGAAAAATACATTCTCAGGGAAATCAGTCCTGGGCCTCTTTTTATTAAAGGCAACCAGCAGCTGAAGTACAGGAATGCAAGACTTGTGCTAAATTATATGGTAGTTTCGTGATATTTCAGCTAGGAGCTGAACTCAAACTGTTGTGATCTAAAGCAGATTTGACCTGCGTTCCCAGGCACACATTAATCCTTTGACATTACAGTTTATAGATACAGGATTAGTTGCTTGGAGTGCTGTACTAACCACCGGGGGAAGTTGCTAAACCTTGGAGGGAAGAGGACAAACCAAGAAAGCTCTTACAATGTCCCGTACATTCCTGCATTTTTTAATGGCACAAAAATGTAAAAGATGGTGGTAAGATGGAGGATAATCTTATTTAATTTCTTTCTTTTTTTAATCTTTTGCAGACAATAACAGGAAAATGTAAAATTTTTATTTTTCAAACACTTATCAACTATTTCTTAGTTTACTGCTAGTTTCCTGGGACAGGATTTTGAAATGTGCATTTGACTGCAGAATTGCTTAAATATGTAGTTCAACGTCTTTGCAATACAACTGCAGATACAACAGATTTAACATATTTTATTATAATGACACACTTGTTCATAAAAAAGTATGTCATATCTGTGTCTTGAAGTAAGTGACGTAGAAATATACAGATAAAATGAAGGAAATTAATGAGATTCAAATGCTGAACGTCAGTTAATAATTTTTTTTCTTTTCAAATGCCAGGACCTTATCTATATGCAATTTACACTAGCAGAAATCAAGCAGATGGCACAGAATTATATTCAAGTTACAACTTTCAGAATTATTATAATACCAGTCATTCTGAAAATGGAGGACATTGCCTATCATAAGCACCAGGTGTTGTCACACATACGAATGCTACAGTGTATACCATTAAGTAATGTGTAAAGGTTAACGACCCCTTTATTTATGGAAACCCTTCTCATACTTAATGATAGAAGTTTCTTGTGATAACAATCAGTCAAAATACAAAAAATATTACACATAACTAGAGAGAGAAATATGGATTCACCTGGTTTAAATTACCCCCAATTTAAAGTCAGTGCTTTTTATCAGTTAAGCACATGGCAAGGCAGAGAGCTGAGCAACGAGAGACACTAGTCACAGCGACTTGAGCAGATCTGGGGATTTCTGAAAGTTGGCCAGTGAATCTACTGAAGGCAAACATGCCCTATGCCCATGAGTCTCTGAGAGCTACGGGTCCTACCACCTACCCTTGCTGTGCTTTGGCCAACCTGATAAAAACAGTACAGTGTATTCTTACGTTATACTGGAATTGTCACTGTTGATTGTCGTGACAATAAACAGTATTTGTAAAACTGTCATTTAACTTATTTAACAGTTATTTATTTAACATGCTATTACATTGCAAGATTTCAACACTTAGGATGACGCATATATTAAAGTTCAACGTGTAAGGCATAGTTGCTCTTTGGGTTAGTCACCAGGCAGCTGCTTCTATTTTCATCATTGACTTTTAACTCTTTAAATTACATAGGGCTCAAGACCTGAGTGGTTCAAGGGACTGTAATACGATGCAGCGTCTTGCAAGTTTTAGGTCTTGTTAACAACAAAAAGCTAGTGTTATCTGCAAGATCTTCACATAATTCAATGTGGGTGCCAAGGCAGCTCCTAGTCCCTAGTCAAGTGGTATATATATCACTGAAAAAATGAACAGGGCATGGCCTGAGCATGTGGCCAGAGAAGAAACTGGCCTAGAAGCCCAATATGTTCTGCCCTTTATTCCTTCAACACACACCGTAGCAGGAAGGTGTGGGGACTTTTGGAGTTTCACTTTTGTCACTGTTTGCATACCTTGGTGTCTAGAGCTATCAGTCCATCCACTTCTGGTATGTATGACCTGCACAGTAAATACTATAAGAGAGAAGGAAGAGAAACTACTATTTCATAGGAAAAGTGAGCCCTCAAGGCAAAGAATATTAAATGCCCATTCCCTGAAAGCAGAGCATTGACCAAGGAGCTTTGTTCAGGCAGGATCCTTAAATGAGTATGATCCACTTCATGTGATCACTGCTTCATATAAATGTTAAAGAATACAACGTCTTCCTCTAAACTACCTACATCAAGAACATACATGTCCTGTACATCTGGGCTTTCTATCCAGCTTTTAAGCTATCTAAAACAAGATGACAAGGTGACAACTGAGTACCTTCAAGTCTTCACTGGATAATGGTTATGTCAACATGTTTTTGGATGTGCAGAAACAGTTGGAAGTTTTTTTGTTTTGATTAAAATGAAAACAAAGTACAAAAAGACAAACAAGTAAATTTACAATGAATTGTTGTTTATCACTGCACAATTTAATAGTATCAACCACACCAGCAAAGGATTTTTGTAAAATGTTTAAATGGTTTCTTTATAAAAACACTAAAAATATGCAAATCAGATCAAGCCGAAAAAACCCCACACTAATATTTTTCATTAATGCCTTCTACTGAAAGAGTTGAAAGACATTCATCAGCTACGATTGGAAGTTTGAGCAAGTAATACTACGTGTTACAGGGACTGGTAAATGACAGTGCTGAGGATATAACACCGCACTTAAAAACTGGATGCTGCTTACAACCAGTATGCAAAAAAGTGACTTGATATTCAGAGCTGTTAACTCCTGTGATGCCAACGAGAGGATGGCATTCAATACTTTTGAAATCAGGCAGTTTTGATTATGTACAAGAAGTGCTGGTTACAGGTTCAGGCACCTCAGGCATACCCTCCTGGGATGACACAGACACTGTGGCTGAGGGCCCGGAGCGAGCTGCGACACTGTGCTGCTTGCTTTTAATAGAGTGACGTTTTGCTCAGAGAAACAAAACAGGAGAGAAAAGCAGGCAGGATGTGAAAAGGCAGACACTGACTGGCAGAAAGGAGCAGGAGCCATTTTAAAGATTTGTTTCAGAAGAGATCCCAAGTAGGTTAATTGATTAATTACAGCCAGGCTTTGTCAGTCCCGTACCTTGGCTCTCAAGGGACAGACCATTCCTGCCCACAACACCTCACAGGCATGGTCACATCTCTCTAGTGAAGTTGTAAAACAACAAGACTCTGACCCACCGAAGAAAATAACCCTCCTACACCATCAGAAAGTGAAAATTCCTCAGAAATAACCCACCAGTTCACTCTGCTTTAATGGCAGAAGCAGCAGTCGCTGGGGGCTCACATTGACTTTTGAGCAGGGAAGGTTTTTGCTCCTGCTGCATAATCTGTTCTTAATCACCAGGGGTGCAGAAATGGTTAATATAATAACCACCAACAAAAAGAACACGCGATTCAGATTCTGCTCGGGTTACACGGAGCCCGTGAGGCACTCCAGAGATCAAATCAGCGGGCAGAAGCAGGAAGCAATCGATGACATTTTATAACCGACCCATCGCACCGACCGACGCTCAGTGAAGAAGCATCCAGGTACACTTCTGCAGCTCGCCCGCAGGCCCTGCAGCCACACACCCCTGCTCCGCAGCAACAGCATCACGACGTGCACGATTTACCACAGGGCTGGAAAGAAAATGCGCAAGGAAGTTTTATCTAAAATTCCTCCAAAACCCCAAGAAAAGCAAAAGCTGTTTCTCTGTCAAAAGTAACACTTCTTTTGATACATTTTAGTTCATCCCATATATTAGTTTATTATTCCTCTG